AACATATTCACCCTCTGATCCCTCCTGAGTTGTTAAGCCCCATTTAAGACTTTTAGCTTTGGTTTTCTTACCATGGCATAAGCCGTGGGCAAGTAAGTGTGCTGTAAAAAGTGGCTGCAATTACATATCTCTGAGCTTCTATGTTCAGTGTATGGTCTTCCTCCTATTCTTGATCTGGTCTTGCAGTTTTCATGATAATTCCTCATACATGAATCTTATATACAGGTCTCATTCCGAATAACTGAATGGTACATATTTGTTTTTTGTTTGCCTTTTTTTAATTATATATATATTTTTAAAAAATACAATTTATTTATTTAAATAAAAGTTTTTTTAAAAAATATGTAGTTTTACTTTATTTGAAAGATAGAGAAACACAAACACACAGAGGCGGAGACAGAACCAGAAATAGAGAACAATCTTCCCTCTGCTGGTTTAATTTTCAGATGCCCACAACTACTGTCTGAGCTAAGTCAAGGACAAGAGCCTGGAATTCAATCTGGGTTTCCCATGTGGGTGGCAGGGACTCAACTACTATTGCTTCCCAGGGTACACATGTGTAGGAACCTGGAATTGGGAGTGGATTGGAGACTGAAACCTAGGCATCCATTTATGAGATATAAACTTTCCAAGCAGCATCTTAACCATGGCATCAAATGTCCACCCTTGAAATTTGTTTTGTATTTTATGATTTAATAAATGATTCTTGCTTATCACCATATGAAAACACATAGCAAGGAAATGAAAGCAAAAACTATCTCAGATCACAACATCTAGAAAGAAGTCCTTTTGTTGTTTTAAAGACTAATTGTTTCTGTATTCTCTCTATATACACAAACACATGATACACATATTGATGTAACTAGGGCAATGTTTATCAGTGACTTTTTTCTCATTTATGGCATTTTTTTGTTGTTGCAGTTGGTGCCACTGCTACTTTAATTTTCTTGTCACTGTGTATTCAGGCATATTCCAGTTACTTTACTGCTATAAATATACTGCAATAAATGTTCCCTGAGCATGTTTTCTTTCCTGCTAGTCTTTTTTTTTTTTTTTAGTCAATGAGAGTGACGCTTAATTTGGGATTATGGTCTGGCTGTTAGTTACCTTTTCACTCTTCCTTTGCTACCCAGGAATACATAGGTCAGCTTGTACCTTTTCTTTTTTATGAAAATCCATTTTATGAAAAGACCAGATGCTAATATTTTACCAAAATTTATACATTTACTTCTGTATATTTATACAACCTAATGTTAAGGGAATGGTCAAAAGGGATGGTTCTTCATCAAAGATCTCACTTCACACTGAAATTTATGTATCAGAGATTTGTAGATATTTTTATTAGTTAAAAAATCTGTGGGGCTGTCACTGTGGCACAGTGGGTTAATCCTCCTCTTGCGGTGCTGGCATCTCATATGGGTGCTGGTTCTAGTCCAGGCTGCTCCTTTTCTGATCCAGTTCTCTTCTATGGCCTGGGAGAGCAGTAGACGATGGCCCAATCACTTGGGTCCCTGCACCTGTGTGGGAGACCTGGAGGAAGCTCCTGGCTCCTGGCTTTGGATGGCACAGCTCCAGCAGTTGTGGCCATTTGGAGTGAACCAGTGGATGGAAGACCTTTCTCTCCATCTTTTCCTTTCTCTGTAACTCTGTCTTTCAAATAAATTAAAAAAAATAATATATATTTCACATGACCTAGTCTGATCCTCTTTTCTACCCTCCCCCCAAATTCTGGTATCTTTTTTCAAAGTCTTATTTCAATTTTATTTCTCTCTGTTATTTCCATGGCCTACTGAGGTAACATCCCAGCACATAGGAAATGTTGCTAGTCTGATGAAAGTGGATTTTGGTAAATTCATATTAATGTAAAATAACTTCTTGTAAGGGCTCAGAAATCTCTGTATAGGAACTTACTTTGTGTTTTCTCCAGGGATTGCTGTCTGCATGGTTGCTTAGTATATAATTTTCCTAACTACAAAAACTGGACATTTACCCCTCTTAACTCTGACATACTTTTTTTGGTTTGATTTCCGAAGTGTTATAAAGAATGTAAAAAAAAAAAAGTCATTTGGAAAAGACAGTGTTACTGAACTTATCAAGCATATCTTTGTCTTTACTGGTATCATCTGTCATTTATATTAGCTGTCTAGTCTATTATATGCCTTTAATCAGTGAGACATTGGATATTTTTAACGAGTTATTTATTTATTTGAAAGTCAGAATTACATAGAAAGAGAAGGAGAGGCAGAGAGAGAGGTCTTCCATCTGCTGGTTCACTCCTCAATTTGGCCACAACAGCTGGAGCTGCTCCAATCCAAAACTTCCTCCTGGTCTTTCTCTAGGGGTGCAGGCGCCCAAGGACGTGGGCCATCTTCCACTGCTTTCTCAGGCCATAACAGAGAGCTGGATCAGAAGTGGAGCAGCTGGGACTTGAACCAGTGCCCACATGGGATGCTGGCACTGCACTTCACCCACTAAGCCACAGTGCCGGCCCCAAGACATTGCATTTATAATGGATAGTGAAACAGACTTTTTTTTTTTTTTTTTTACTTTTATTTAATGAATATAAATTTCCAAAGTACGACCTATGGATTACAATGGCTTCCCCCCATACCGTCCCTCCCACCCACAACCCTCCCCCCTTCCCCTCCCTCTCACCTTCCATTCACATCAAGATTCATTTTCGATTATCTTAATATACAAAGATCAGCTTAGTATACATTAAGTAAGGATGAAACAGACTTATTAGTAGTCTTCTAGAAACTGTACATTTTTTCAGGAGGCAGCCATTAAACAAGTTGACAAATAAATGCGAATTTTTAACTGAAGTGGCTAGAAGGAGATGTTTGGGGAATGGCAGGGCCTAAGAGATTAGTGGCAATGTGGATCAGGTGGGCTCCTCAGAGAAACTTCCTGGGAAACCTGAGAGCTCACAAGTGAGAGAAGAATTTGCATAAAGGACTTTAGTGGGAAGGATTATGTCACACTGCATAGGCCTAAGAAGTTTTGGTCTTTATCCTAACATAAGAGCATAGCCAATACACAGCAGGGTGATGTGGTTTAAAATGAGTTTGAAAGAATCAATGTAGTTGCAATTTGGAGACCAGTTTTAGAAGGTAAAAATAGGTCAGGATCCCCATTGGTAGGTTTGTGTAAGTGTCTAATTTCAAAAAATGGTAGCTTAGATGGAGGTGGTTGAGGTACCAGAGATGAAGAAGCTGCATTCCACAGATACCTGGTGGAAGAATTGATGCGGCTTGAGGACTAATGGATTAACTGTTTACAGATACATGAGAGGAAAATACCTAAGATGCTCAGGCTGTGGGGAACTCAGTGGGATTTGTGTTAGTCAGCTTTTTGTTGGTATAAATAAGTACATAAGACAAGCTATTATCAATGAGTGGGATTTATTTTGGCTCATGGTTTTGGAGGTTCAGAGTCCCAGATCTGGTGGGACCTATGAGTTTAGCTGTGCAGTGAGACTGGAGGGTGGCATCTGCAGAGGAGGGCAAAGCAATGGCCACAGTGTGAGCCAGGAAGCAAAGAGAATGGCTCAGGTTTTTATAATGAACGTTCACAAGAATTGCCTTCTGAGGGCATACGTTGAATGACCTAAGGACTTCTTCCTAGGCGCACTGCCTAAACACCATAGCTGGATTGAATTTCTATTCTCTCAGTACCATTAACTTATGCTTTTAGGGATTGGAGTCTGCAGAGGTTAGAAAACCACATCCTATGCAAATCATAGCAGGTGGCGTTTACTGAGATGTGAAAAACTGGAAAGACTATTTTGGAAGAAAGATCACAGGTTTGGTTTGGAGAAATTGAAGATACTGGTTAGTTGGGTAGATGTGACATTCTAGAACTCCATAGTACTTTAGTCTAAGACACCAGCTGGTTTCCTTGAATAGTCTTTTAATTTTTTTTTTGAGAACCTTTTAGAAACAAGAATTTTGAAGAGTTTATTGTTCTTTGTTATCATTTTAACATCTCAAAAAGAAAAGTACGTATGCATCTGAAATACTGTTAATATTCTGTGAGACTCCTCTCATATTTAACAACAATAATGAGCAAGAGGGCTTTGTTTGTTTTTGGGGAGCTTTATTTTCATTTTGGGAGCCAGGATAATGTAACTATTTTCATATTTCCTTGAATAGGGTACCTTGGAAAATAGTGGAAAATTACAATTAGTGGGATGTTAAGAGTGTTAAGATGTTCTTTGCAGAGTAGAAGTATTTTGTAACATCAAAATGATAACATTTTAAAGACCTATTTAAGGATAATCACTCCTTTTCTTGGGTGATGTTCTATGCTAACCCCATCCCCTAATTTTTTGTGTGTGGTATGTTAAATATTTTATAAGAATCTAAATCTGAAACACTATTGTGTCTTATTTATTGTTATGGTATTCATTTTAATTATATTGTTGAATTTATACTCCCAAGTATTACCATATTTAAAAATAACAAAAACCTTAGTGTTTACTGGATACTCTTGGGTGGCCTTTCCTTGGAGAACTGACTTGTGAAGTGTTGGGAGTTTTTTTGTTCTGCCAGCAATTCAGAGGTGGTGAATGACTGGCCCATAGACAATATAAGGACTGAGAAACCATCTGGTCTGGGCCTGCAAAGGTAACTGCCAATGGGACTTGAAATTCAGTAAATCGATACAAGGCTAATTTTTAAGTTGATAATTTCATGTGGCCCACAAATGATGTTGTAAAAATCTCCAAATGGTCTTGGCAACAGAAAGGTTCCCAACCTCTACATGGCTCATTGTATTTTCATTATTTATTGACAGTAAATGAAAATGAAAATAAAAAGTATTTTTGCTGGAATAGAAAGAAGCATTAGTAACAAGAAAAGTGGAACAACAGAGTTTTTCTAATTTTGATATTTTGTTTTTCTGTTAACATTATTTTAATGTTCAGACCTTAATTAAATATTCAAAGTGAATTGATTCTTCACATGTTAAAAATTAACATCTTATCACTTTTTTCATAGGTCTCATATCTTTTGGGTGAACAGAAGTCTACCTTTATGGGGTTTACAGGTTATGTACAGTTTTATTTTTTATCTCTGTATTTCTGGGCTTATTCTTATTTCAAAAGGAATTATTATTGGAGAAAAAGCTATTGGTATTCAAGATCAGTTTATATTCCTGCTTAATTGATCCTGCTGCACACAGATAATAGGGTAATATTTTTAATTTCTTCACATTTGTTGGAGCCCTTCATCTCACTTTTTGAGATTTGCGTAATAATTGGGATTAGACTTGAAACAATGTTTGAGAGTGAAGCAAACCAAAACAAACCACTGGATTAAGGCTCCACAAGTTTCCCCTAACTATATTAGGTATTTTTGTTGTGTAGTTCCTTTAAAATTAATCAAAAGCCCTTACCTATTTTTTTTTTTTTACACTTTATATTCTCAGTCTCTGAAACATGGTAATAGCTCAAAATATAATGGTTACTGAATAAACAAATGAATGAGTCACTTATATTTCCAACACTGGGAGCTTAGTTCCTGAGAAGGTAATTGTATCAATAAAACAAAAAGTATGTTCTGGCATAAAAGGAGCCCTTAAGAAGGAGTGAGACAGAAGGAGAGAACAGCCTGTGTCAGTACTGCAGAGGTGTTCCCAGGAGTCCCCAGGGCCCCCTCTTCCTTCCTTTCATTCTAAATTTCATGCCCAGCAGGTGTTTTACAAGTTCCCTTTCTTCCACTTCTGAGTACCTCCTAGGATCCTTTTTTATTTTGTTATTTTTTAAAAGTTCAAATTAGTTAGAAGAATGGAATTACCAACAAAAAAATAATTGGAGGTTGGAGGACAATTGAATCTGTAGAAAATGGGAAGACTTCCATGCTCACTGCTGAGGAGCAATCTTTAACAAAGATTCAGATCAAAGTCTGCTTTGGCATGAAATTCATGATGACTGTGAATTCTGTACTTTTATATATGATAATGAATTATTTTAAGTATGTATGCAATTGGGATCATTAACTCTGAAGATTTTACTATGTCTGGATATTTCATATTTTATAGAAGTCAAGTTGTTACTTTATGTCATTTTACACCAACTTTCCTTCACTTCAAATTAATATACAAGTAACCTTTTTCAGATGTTTAAGTGTTCATGAAAAATACAATTTGAAAATTTCTGAGTGGAGTTTATATGGTATCCTGTGTTATTTAAAATAAATTAATATTTCTAGGAGTAGTCACATATTGTCTTGAAATATAATGAGATCTAGTCTAATTAATTTAATAGTAATATTTTAAAATAATAGTAATACTCACTTCTGAATAGTGCTTTCAGTAACAGGGTAAAAAGTTATGGAAATCATCTTTCACTATGCATTTCTAAAAAAATGCATGGTTGATTATAATTTAGAGGACTTGCAGAGAAAATCAATGAGGTTTGGATTTTCTTCATAATGATTGGCTGTGGCTGTAGTTCTGAACATATTTTACTTCAAATGCCATGTATTCATCTGTTTTTATTCTTATGTTTTTAGATTCACTTAAATTGAAAGTTTTTATTCCAATAGGAGCCAAAACATAGACTCTAGGTTTTCTGCTTTTCTCATTCAGATTATCTTAAACCTCAAGATCTATAAACAAACATTTTTATTATCTGAGTCAGTTCCTATTTGTGTTTGCTTATGTGATTCTATTAATCCATCCTAAAGTGCTTAGAGTATTTAATACAGGGGAGTTTTGATTTCTTTCCTATTTACTTTTACCTGTTGCAGTTATTATTTTTTTTAGTTAAAATCTGTAGAAATTTTATAGATAGAGAAATGGAGAAAGGTAGAAGTCTGTCTAGAGTGATGTGTCAGTAGCACTTTTAGCTACAAAAGGGGAATTTGTAATGACATTTATTCAAAAAAATTTGAAAGAATCTTGAAATGCTGATATGTTTTCTTTTGTTGGATATTCAAGGATATTGACAGTTATTTTGTGATTTCTGAAAGGAAACACTGATTTTAATGGTGGTTTTGCTGGCAAGGGCATCTTTTTGTTTTTGTTTTTTGGTGGAAGGGCAGTTGTGTATGATTGTATGTGTTGAGGACACACATCCAAACAGGCATACACAGGAATATATTCTATATGTATCCTGTGAACTTAAGTTAGTCTATTTTAATCCCATGTTTATATTTAGGATAGTACATAAAAAAGATTTATTAAGATGCTAGAAATTGTAAAAACTTATGTGCAATGCAGGAGGTGGCAGAAAAAGATCTGAAACCTGTCACCTGTTTATAGAAGTTAAAATATCACCATGCAGTTCCTATATCGCATTTGCATATAGCAACCAAATATGTATACCCACATGTATACATGCACATGTGTTTACATAGTTAATAATATGAATAACATTTTAATTGTACTTTCTTATTAAGTTGCATTTTATATTTTAGGTTTCAGTGGCATTGATAAGCCTATTTGAAACAATACTACTTGGTTATCTCAGTTATAAGGTAAGATATTTTAATAAGCGGTTTGGAAATTTATATTCATTAAATAAAAGTTAAAAAAATAAATAAAAAAATAAGCGGTTTTCTGCTAATAACATATTGCTACCATTTGTTCCACATTCCATTATTTACAATTCATATTTGGGAATTTGAGGCTCTTGTTAAACCACTTAATTATTTTGAGCCTCTCCAGTTGTGATATGAAGAAGTAGTAATATAGTCATGTTTCCCCCTGGTGAATTGGAAGTACTTCACTAACTCCTGCGGGTTCCTTACCTCTTATGTGCATGCATACAGTGAGGCAATCAAATGGAATCATCTGGCTTTTTATTGTTCCCAATGTCTTTCCCTGATCTGTACAAAAAATATTGAGAGAGCAAAATCATGACTGTTGGGAATTATTTAAATTAATTATCTTAGTCTTAGTTGAAGCTTTGTTTGGCTAACAAAGTTTAATAACCACATCTTTGGCTCGTGTTTGATGATGACCTGCACACTTTGCATGTCTCTTTTCTCATGGAATTATAATCTAGAAAGGGAGTGAGATGTAAGAAATTATAAAGATAGATTGTTCAAAGGAAGGATAGAATAACTTACAGTGAGGTATAAATAAAGCAGTATGTAAGTTCATGTAGAGAGGCCATAGCACAGGATAAAAAGGAAATACTTGACCTAAGCCAGGTTTTTGATTCAGAGGGATTTCAGTAGAGAAAATGAAGATGAGAAAACAGTGATTGATAGAATTGACAAAGGGAAGATTGTGCATATCAAGTAGGAGGAATCAGAAATATTTGTTTCACAAAAATATGGGGCCTTGTGCAGCAAAATATAATGGCACTTCAAATAGTTCATCAAAAATGCATTAGAAGGGAAGTTTATTTTGATGTAAAATTTTTTGAAAACCATGTATAGTATTTTCATAAAATGTATTTTCCATGAATTTTTTAAAGTTCACGCATGTGATAGGACATTGATGGGTATGTTGAACATTCTTTTTTCTAAAATTGTACTTATTTTCATTTCATGTTGAAAGACATGGAGAGAGAGAGAGAGAGAGAGAGAGAGAGAGAGAGAGATGCAAAGGCAGTGGCTGGTTCAGGCAAAAGCCAGAAAAAAACTTAAGCTGGGGCTCCCACTTTGGTGGCTAGGACTCAAATCCTTGAGTCATCCCCTGATGCCTTCCAGGGTGTGCATTAGCAGGAAGCAGGATTGGAAACAGATGGGCCAGGACTTGAACTACCCACTCTAATATGGGTGGTGGGCATCCCAAGCAGTACCCGAACCTCTATGCCAAATGCCTTCCCCTGATATGATAGTTCTATCGTTGAAATTCAGTTTTAGGGATATTAATGTAGAACACCCATGTAGTAATATCAAAGAGACATTAGTGAAGATCCTTTCTTTGGTTAAGACATGCTGAAGTATAAGAAGAAAACCAGCAATAATGTTTTGACTGGGTGAATAGAATAGTCAAATTTGATGAAAGATTAATTATGAAAGTAGGAACTGAACAGATCTTGGGGTGACTGTTTGAGATAGGTAAGGACCAGGAAACTCAAACACAATTTTAAAGTTTTCTGAGGTTGAATGATTGTAAATGGAAATTAAATTAAGATAGAATTATATAAAGATTAAAATCTGATGGACTTGGGTTTGAACATAATGAGTTTCACATGCAGGTGGGAAAAAAGGTGGATTAGACAAGCAGACAAGTGAGAAAGCAAATCGCATCTTTCAGTAGGGAGAGACTGACAGATTCTGGTGAGCATTTCAGAGAAGTTGGAGGGTGGCATGAAAACCCACCTCACAAGGCAGAAATCACCAAGGTCGGAGCCAACACTCACTTTAATGGAGAGCTTATATTGTGGGTTTTGACAATAAAGATTAGAAAGTTATTAGGATGGTTGAGTATTTTAATTACCACCAATTTGTGTTTACCAGTTTTCTCATCTACTGCATCAACATATACTTAAGGATATGTTTTTAGGGATGTCTTAACACCAGTTCTTTTGTTACTTTTTAAAACATAGAACATAGAGGGGTTTTCTTTTCTTTTCTTTTCTTTTTTTGACAGGCAGAGTGGACAGTGAGAGAGAGAGAGAGAAAGGTCTTCCTTTTGCCCTTGGTTCACCCTCCAATGGCCGCCGCAGCCGGTGCACCACGCTGATCCCATGGCAAGAGCCAGGTGCTTCTCCTGGTCTCCCATGGGGTGCAGGGCCATCCTCCACTGCACTGCCTGGCCACAGCAGAGAGCTGGCCTGGAAGAGGGGCAACTGGGACAGAATCCGGCGCCCCGACCGGGACTAGAACCCGGTGTGCCGGCGCCACAAGGCAGAGGATTGATTAGCCTAGTGAGCCACGGCACCGGCCAAAATGTAGAGTTTTGAAGATGACATTTTTTAATCCTAACTTTAGAGAAAGAAAATTTTACAAACTCTTTTATCTTTTTCTGTGGACCAGGTTTTCTTAATTCCCATTATTGTCATCTAAAGAAAATAATGTCAAATCGTAAAGTAAGATTGATTAATAAGGAGGTATAGCTATAAAAGAGTAAGAACTTCTCAGAAGTATAGATTGTTTTATTAAATATTTCTGAGAAAAAATAGAATCTTAGAAATGTCTAAGGGCAGCAGTTCTCAGCCCCAATCTGACCTGCTTGCTGGCCGCCTCTTGGCAGTGTTTTCAATATATCTAGCTCTGCTTTCTCTACAAAAAACCAAGTCGAAGAAAGGAAAGTATTACAGAAAGCGCGTGAGCTATGGCAAGTATGTGGGGCTGGAGAGACAAATTAGGAAATCATGTGCTATTCCACAAGAAACCTGTTTCAAGTTGTTTGTTTTAGAGTAAAAGCTGTTGAATGGAAAATGTTGGTTGATGGGCGGTAGTTTTACTAGCAGCAGTAGAATGAAGCAGGGATGACTGCTTAGTGATGGGAAATGTTTGCATTATTTAAAAGAGAAGGGGAATGGGAAAGATAAATAAAACAAACATAAAGAAAGAATAAATTGGAAGGGAACCTGAAGTTTAATTAGTTAATTAATTGATATTCGTTTTAACTGAAAGGCAGAGAGACAGACACAGGGAGATCTCCTATCTAGGGGTTCACTCTCTAATACCTGTAACAGCCAGGGATGGTCCAGGCTGAAGCCAGGATCCTAAAACCTAATCCATGCCTTCCACGTGAGTGACAGGGACCCAAGTAATTGAGCCATCACCTGCTTCCCATCAAGGTGTACATTAGCAGGAAATTGGACCAGAATCAGAGAAGTGAGATATGAACCAGGCAGACTGACATTGGGATGCAAGCATCCCAGTCAGTAACCTAACTGCAGCACAAAATGCCAGCCCGGAAAGCTGAGGGCTAATGATTAGCTTTGAGAATCCTTCTTTTGGGAACACAGAAGATGGAAGCAGTCACAAAGGATATTGTGCAGCCAGAAGAGGGAAGTGAGGGGTCTTATACTTGGTGGTCAAATGCCTAAATCACCTGGAAAGTACTAGATCAGTGGTAAGTGATATAGACTAAGATTTGAAGAATAGTCTTAATGGTCGTAATAGTCTTAATGTTTAGTGCATTCCATTGTTAAGACAGATGTCCAAACTTGCTCTCATTGACAAATCTATACATTGAGTAGCTAGAAAATAAAACAAAAATATGGTCAAATAAATTGATATTTAAGATTTTTTTTATATTTTTTTATTTTTATTTTTTTAATTTTTTTGACAGGCAGAGTGGACAGTGAGAGAGAGAGACAGAGAGAAAGGTCTTCCTTTGCCGTTGGTTCACCCTCCAATGGCCGCCGTGGCCGGCGCGCTGCGGCCGGTGCACCGCGCTGATCCGATGGCAGGAGCCAGGAGCCAGGTGCTTTTCCTGGTCTCCCATGGGGTGCAGGGCCCAAGCACCTGGGCCATCCTCCACTGCACTCCCTGGCCACAGCAGAGAGCTGGCCTGGAAGAGGGGCAACCGGGACAGAATCCGGCGCCCCAACCGGGACTAGAACCCGGTGTGCCGGCGCCGCTAGGCGGAGGATTAGCCTAGTGAGCCGCGGCGCCGGCCCAATATTTAAGATTTTATCTTTTAAGTTCCTTAGTGTGCATGTATGTGATGAACATCGATTGTATCATATGAATTGTGATGTAAATTAAAAAAGTTAATCATGTGTTTTTTTTTCTGTAATTAATTGTCTCTTCAAAAAAAAAAAAAGAGTACATACAGAAACATAACATGGCTAAAATAGTAATCTACATTTGTGGGTATATTTACTCCAACTTCTAGCTAAAAAATATGAAAGTAACTTTAGTGTTTTGCTAATAGAACTGTTAGCTTTAATTTAAAACATCATTTAAAAACCACACAGATTCAAGATAATTTTCCTTGTAATTATATGATGATGATATTTACAATTAATTACTCCCTTTCATTTACAAAACGAGAGAACATTATAAGACTTGGTATGCAGAGCTAGATGATGCATAGTTATTTCCACATTCTGACACTCTAGATGGATGAGAGGTCGATGGTAAAGTACTGTGTGTCACAAAGGACACAGGAGGGGTGAAAAGGAATTTCGTTACAGCAGAGGATGTGTTGCTGTTAATTATCTTTTTTTTTTTTCCTGTCATGAATTTAGTCACATTACTGAACTGTTTTGACCCTTTCCATAGTGTTGAATAATATTTTGGGAATAAATGAATGATTTTACTGGTAAGTATTTATGACCTTTAAATAAGACAAATTTGGATAGCAGACTCTAAAATGTATTTCTCTCTTTAAATCAAATTTTTAAGACAATAACAGTCATACAGAAATGGATATTGGACTACATCAGCAATTGTAGGCATTCCTAATAATATTTTTTGATACTTAGGTTTCTGAAATAGCGTAGTTATTGCAAATCAACATGCACTTTTATAATGTTTATTTACCTATGTATTTATGCAAAGATAATGCATGCATTCATCTTTTAAAATAAATTTACTACAATATTATAGATGCACTTTGT